TCTGGTGTATTATTAGTAGGTGTATATTGTATGTTTGGGTCCCATGGGTCATCTCTTGCTAATTCATATATTTCATCTTCTGAAGAGGTTGATTCATTTTCTTCTGATTCTTCTCCCTCCTCAGGTGTGGTTCTTCTTGAGTTATTTGCAGGGTTACTTCTACATGATGATTGACTATAATGGTATAATATTTGTTGTCCTGGTAGTTGTTCTCTTTTTCTACCTCTTTCTTTACCTCTTTGCAGGTTTATTCATTATGTTTTTCTTCCTCCTCTTGTTGTATAATTTACTTTGTTCTGAGACATTTTCAAGATTCACTCGATTTTTCAAATGTTTTAACACTTTTTTCAGAATGTTCAGCACTTTTCTTTCAAAAGTTCAATATTTTTTGGGGGATTTTTGGTAAACAACAAGTCCTTTTATGATTTTCAAATTTTTTATTTATTTTCCTTTACTTTAATTCTTTATTAAATACATCGAGTAACTATTTATATTATGTTATATATAATGTTATAGTATTGTTATTCTGTTGTATTCTAAATTATTATTTAACTTAAGTTTAAGATTACATTAATATTAGTTTCTGCTTCTTCCCAGTATGCTGATCCCTTTTCTTTCATTTCTTCAAGTATTTCTTGTTCCCAAACTTTGTATAATTTATCTCCTACAATATTATCATATCTTACTATTCTTCCTTTTACCCCTTTTATTCTTAACTCCATCCTATTATAATTCTTATTTCCAAAATTATCCTTTTTCCAATTTTTAACACTATTTCATTTTTGATTCCATTCTTTTACATTTGAGGGTTTACTTAAGATATACTTGAAATACATTTTCCTTTTCTTTATTTCTTCAATTTCTTGATAAATTTCTTTTACTTTTTGTTTTATTATTCTCTTTTCATCCTCCAAGGTTAATATCTTTTAGATCAATATATTTATTAGTTCATTGGGTGTTATCATTTCCATTGCACATTCCACAAATGCTAATTTATATGCATCTGCAAAGTTGTGTGTATATTTTCTTTCCATATTTTGCTGGATTTTTTCCATTACTTCTTTATAATTTTCTTGTAATGTTTTGTCTCTAATGTATTGGAGTGTTTTATCCAATGGGAATATCACTTCAAAGAATTTAACCCTTTATAGTATCTTAGCATTGTCATTAGTCCTATTCATTTCTTTTCCTGCATCAAAGCTATCTGATCTCAAGATTTCAATTTGTTTCATTTCTTGTTGTACTGATTTGTCTACAAATTCTTCAGGCTTTTTGTAAAATCCCATTAATATTTTATTTACCTTTTCTTCTATTTGTTTATCATATTCAAAATCTCTCACTTCTTATTGTATTGGTTTTTCTGTAAATTCCTTGGGTTTTTTATGAAATCCTACTATTTTTCCAAGTGCTTCAGATTTTTTATTATTAGTTTCTGTTACTTCCAAAATTTCTTGTTCAAGGGTTTCAATATATTCTAGTTCTTTATCTGTTGGTTTTCTTTTGATTGGGTTGAATCCGTCCATCCTTTTGAATCTTGCAACCATTTTATCTCTTTCTCTTTTAATTCTTTTATCTTGCTGTTCTAGTAATTCATCAATATCATCATTTTCAAATTCTGGATTCATTTCAAAATCCTTATATGTCTCGTATGCAATTTCATTTATTTCATTTTCTCTTTCCTGCATTTTATCAATTTCTTCTTGTATAAAGTGTTCACTGTCTCTGGACCCATAGTCTGCCCAGTATTTAAGGTTTTCTGAAGAGATACTTATTTCGTCTTCTGATTTTGATTCATAATCTGATTCATCTAAGGAATCCAATCCATTAATATATTCTTCTAAGTCTTTCATTTCTTGACTAATAATTTTTCCTTGTGATTTAATTATATTTCCTTGAGGCTCTAAAATTTCTTGTTGCCTAGGGTGTTGGGTTTCATCTTCCCATACATTTTTATGACTTATATTTCCAATAAGTCCTTTTGTAATATCTGTCATTTTCCAATTATAGTCACTTTTCCACCTGTTGAATATTCTTGTTTTCCAATTGGAGTTTTCAATTTCTTTTTTCTTTCTCTTATAATAATTTTCAAATGGATCTTTACTGTCTGATTTTTCTTCAGTCTCAGAGTATTGGCCTTCTGACTCTTCTGGTAAAAAGTGTAATCCTTCTTCATATATAAAAGGGTTCTTACTATTTTGAGTGATTTCTTGTAATTCAATTGTATTTTCATTCTGTAGTGTGATCCATCCTAAATTATTTGTTTCTTTCTACAAGTTCATTTTTCTTTCTGTGATTCAATTATCTTTTCATCAAATGTTATTCTTTTTAGTGGTTTTGGTCTTTGAATATTTATTGCATCACTCGTTATATAATATTGTTTTGTTGAGTTTTCTTTATCACTTTCATTTTTAATTTCTTGAAGTTCACTGGCTTCCATTTTTGTTATCTGGTTTCCCATTTAGAAGTCTAATTATTGATACTATTCTAAAAGGTTGGGGCTCTTTTTTTTCAGATTCTTCAGTTACCTTAGTTTCTTCTTGTGTTGTCTCTACTATTTCTTCAATTTTCACTATTTCTTCAATTGTTTCAAGTCCTATATACTCAGGAAATGGGTCAAATGTCACAAGTTGATATTCTGGTGTTGTATATATTTCTTCTGGTTCTTCTTGTACTTCTTGCTCTTTGGTTTCCTCAGGGAACTGGTAGTTCTCTTTTTCCTTTAAAAAATATTCACTATCCAATCCTTCAATATATCTGAACTTGGGTTTTTCTTGCGCAAGGTCCTCTTTAGGCTGCTCTGGGATTCCCAGTGTTGCCTTTACTTCAGATGTAAGAGTTTCCAAATGGTCTATATCTTGATCAGTCTGATTGTTTGGTTGGATTGGTTCAATTTGTTAGTTTTTTTGTTTTTTGGTTTTCAAAGGTTCTGTTGAGGTGTTTATATAATTTTTCTGGATTTTATTTTCTACTATTTTTATTTCAACAGTAAGTCCTAGTGTTTGGAAGTCACTCATTGTGATTGATAGAATTATAAATCTTTCTGAATCCTTCTTTTCAATAGATAGTTCTGGATCTTTCCATGGAATAGGTTCATTCCATCCTCCTAGAAATTCTGATTCTGTTGTTCTAGTTTTTTCTTTTTTATTCTTTCTTTTATAGGATTCTGTACATACACAGTAGTCATATAGTAGTTCAGAAAGTCTTTCACATGTGTTGCAATACCTATATACATGATGGTCTTCTGATCTCATATTACAATTTTTACAATAATTTCCAGCATTTTCCCATACTTCATGTGTTCTTTCTTTTCTTTGTTCATCTGTTTCTTGTTGTCTTGATTTTCTCAATTTCCAATTGAAATTGTAGTATTGTTTGTACATGTATTCTGTTCCTGCTTGATAATACTCAATTGTTTTTTTATTATACACATAACAATATTTTGTTGTTTCTTCTTTAAATCTTTTATATTGTCTTGGCCTTTTCTTTCCTTTAATTATCTTCTAATTTGTTTTAATCTGTTTTTTAATTTTCCTTTGGTTTCTTACTCTTTTTTTGTCTTTCTCTTTTTTCCTACACTTTCTAATAGGATGTTCTTTTTTCATGCAATAATAACATTCTTTAATATACTTTTCTGTAGTATGGTCTTTCACTGTAGAGTGATTCCACATCTTGGATTTCTTTGAGTCATTGTATAAATTGGCCATACTCTCGTTGTACTCTTGAAGGTAATCCTTGCTTTTCTCAGTATAATATATTGATGAGTCTTGTTGTTAAGCCCATAATTTTGTGTATTCCTTGGTCTTGTTTTCTTTTATACTCATATCCATATCCCATGTGATCACTCCTTCTATTATTTCCTGGTTGTCTTGAGTAATTCACTTATTGTCCTCCATCATCTCTTCCTTTTCTCGAGTTGCTGCTAGACCTGCTTCCATTTCTCTTCTTCTTTTTTTCTTGTTTCTTATCCTCTTTCTTTTCTTCAACTGGTTGTTTAAGATTTTCTTTTTTTTTGCTGTCAGTTTTCCTTAGGTTCTTCTGTTAAGACTTTTTCAAATTCTTGGATGAATTCTTGTTTGATTTGTTCCTCTACCTTTCTTTTAAAATCCTTCTCTTCAAGTAATTCAAAGTCCTCGTCTTGATCATTTGTCTCTTTTTCTTTTTTGAAATCTTCTCTTGTTATAACCATTCTTCTTCTAAGAGAAGTGTCTTGTTCGTTTTCCAGGTTTTATCTTTAGATTCTGATTTCAATTCTGCCAGGTTAGTATAGCATAGCTACCTCTTTTATAACCGATTTTTATTCTAGCATATTTCTTTCTTCGTTTTTCTAAAAGTTTCTTTTTCTTTCTTTTTGCATTTTGTTCTATAACATTCTTTTTATTGTTTTGTAAATATTTGTTTTAAATTGTTCTATTTTATTCTACTAATACTATTTTATTATTTAGCTATTCGCTATACCTACTCTTGTCTTTACTTTTTATCATGCCTAGGGTTCATCTTTCAAATCGCTCAGACTATTCTCCTTTCTCTATTGGTAACTATCATCCTCCATTTGATGAACATTTCTCAGGTCGTCAATCTGAGTTTCCAAATGAAAAATTATTTCTTTGTGCATATATTAAGTTTTTTGAGTCTGAAAGAAACTTTTATCGTGCTGAATTTAAATGTCTTAGCAATCTTAATCTCAAGAATTCAAAGCCTATGTTAGTGGATGAATTTTTCTATTACCATTGTAGAAACAATATCAAAATTCATCCTCACACCTGTTTCCACACCAGAGGTACTCATCATTATAGTTCAAAAGATCTTACAAACATTTGTTCTAAAGAATTGTTTTATAATCTTTTTGCGAATCATGACCCTATTGTTTATATCACTTCTCCAGAATCTATTTGTTCAAATCCTTCAATTGTTTATACAGCTCCTTTGGAACCTTCTATCTTTAGTTCTTCGAATTATTTAATTAATAATTATCATCCAGAGATTATTGATCTTACAGATAAATGACTTATTTGTTTACTTTTTCTATCTTATTCCTTTTCTTTCTTTTATATTTTAATTGGTTCCTTTCTGTAGTCTTCTTATAATCTTAATATTAAAATTATTTTCTTACTTATTGACAAGTTTTGATTTTGGTGTTATTTGTTTATTGTTTATAATCCACATGTATCATTTTTGATAATATTGGATAATTCACGGGTATCATAGTTCTTCTAAGTCATTCTGTTTCACATTAATTTTATTGGTCCTTATCGTTTATAAATTTACTAGTCTTTTTTCTTTTTCTCTTGTTAGAAAATACCTAAGAATAAATCTTCCTTTAAATCTTCTAATAAATCTATTGATCCTTATACTGTTAATAAAATTCTTATTCAAGAGGTTAAAACTCTTCAAGACCAAAATAAAAATCATTCTGATATAATCAGTACACTTAACAATACTCTTACCCAACTTTCAAATCTTGTTTCTAAAGTTATTATTTCTGCAGTTGCTTCTCATACTGCTGTTCTTCAATATTATAATTTTTATGATAAAAATTATCACTACATACCCATAGAAGATACTTCATCATCTCAAAATTCTTTTCTTGTTCCTGAAGATTCTCTAGAATTATTTAAAGATATTATTACTGAACTTAAAAGTTCTTCGGGTCTTGAAGTTTCAGAACTTCCTAGTTTCTTTGACGAATTAGATCAAGATATTTTTGCTATTGCCAATAAGATTTCAGCACAATAATTCTTTATCTTTACAAGGTTCCTTTTTGGACCATCTGTCTAAATTCTTAAATATTCTCAAAGTTAAAGATTACTATAAATGATATTCCTTTTTTTATATTCCTTCTTCAAGAATTATTTTTGTTACTAATAATAAGACTGATAATACATTTGCTTGCTTTGATTACAATGTCCTTAACTCTTTTCTCAATGTTAATCTTCGTTTTTAGTATACTTCTTTCATTTGTATACATTTTATTATTTACTTTGTATTTCTTTTATTACTTTTATTTATTGTATCTTACTATTATTTATAATATTACTCATGGGTAATCCAATGATTTTTAGAAGAAAATATTCTTCTTATGATTATTCTCATCAAATTTTATATTTCCTTAATCTTTTTGAATATCAGCATTTTCGCTATGGTAATAATTATTATATTTTTAACAAACTAGAGGATCTTGGAAAGTGAGGAAATTTGATTATTATAGGTTGAGAATTTATTTATTAGATTACTATCCATGTTTATTTTTTCGTCTCTGTAAATATATTACCAATCCTTAATAAATTTTATTATTAAAAAATATAAAACTATTCCCAAAATAAAAGATATTTTAAATAATATTTCTGAAAACCTAAATATTTCCTTTTTCTTGACTAAATTTATAAGATATATACACAAATTCTCTCTGTCTGTTAATAATATGTCCCACCTAGATATTTGAACATATCCTACTGCTTCTTGTGTATAATCATTGCCAGATGGAATCATAATTATTCCTATGGTGTCTGTTGGTTTTCTTGATAGTGTTCCTTCAAGCTCCCATATAATACTTGGTCCTATTGTTGATATACATTTGTTAGATTATTTTACAAAAAGATCTTAGAGAACGTTTATAATAGGTCATCTATCTTATATCAAGTCTCTACTAGACTAATAACTTTCACAAATAATGGCCCAATGTGCTTTCTTTAAAATCCTTTATGACCAGATATATCCTTCATTGCCCACATATCCTTCAGATGTGGCGATACAAAAAGGTTATAGTAATTTTTATCTAGTAAGTTTCTACTTACTTACTTTAATACTCGACCAGTACTTTACTTGTATCACAAACTCTCTTTTTGCAATCTTTCCTTGTATATCTATTCCTTTATCATTCTTTCCTCCAGTTCTCTTTATTTTGATATTAACTTCTTTCAGTTTCTGTAATACTTGTTTTTCAAAGAGAGTTCCTTTAGTCACAGGTGAAATTTTCATTAACATTTTATAAAATTGTACTTTCCTTTACTGGACTCTGGTAAGTCATTTTTATTTTCGTATTAAAGTTTTGTTTCTTTGTTGTTAAAAGATTTCTTTTGTTAATTATTGATGCTCCTTTTATTATTTTTTAAGGAACTGCACATGTGGCGTTACTTCAATAAGTATCATGTGTTCTTTTGACTTATAAGGCTGCTCACATTGCTTTTTGTGCAGTACAATGATTTTCTTGATTCTTATTGGATACAATAATCCATCCCCATGTTACTTGTTTTCATTTTTTACTAATTATTCCTTCCTGTATTTTTCATGAATTTTCTTTTTACTTTAAGTTGTAGGTTGTTTATTTTATACTGTTTCTTTTTGTGACCTTTCTTTTATTCTTGTTATATAATAGAGTTCATAGTCTTAAATTAGAAATTTTCTTCTAAAAGAACAACCCTTTAAACTGTAAAGTCATTAATGTTCTCACTTGTCATCTGTTTCCTTTTTGTTTATACTAGTTCTATATTTGATGGTGATTGTTAAATTTTCTCACTTATTTAAGTAGAGATGTTGTATACTTGTTTATTAATATCCAAAATGTTTTCTTCTTGTTTTAATTCTATCTAGTAAGCAATATTTCTTGCTTGATTCTTTATCAACGTCCTCATATTTACAATTATTTTATAGCTCTATCTTAGACTCGCTTAAATCTCTTGAAGAGAAGAGTCTTGTTCGATCTCAACTTCTTCCAGTTAATGTCCAAGAGTCTATTCTCAACATTAGGACTCATCTTAAATGTTTTGAAGTTTCAGACGGTTCTTCTATTGTTACCTTAGTTCAGGAAGTTGTCCAGAATCATTTTTCATTGTTTCTTTTAAATCATTCACTCTCTTCGATGGTTGATTTTCTATGTCTTTCTTTTACAAGTTCTTATGATATTATTTATAAAGAACTTATTAAGCTTCAAAATATCATTTCTATTCTTCATTCAGAGAATTCTTCTCTTAAAGAGGAAAATCAGTCTCTTTGTAATATTATTAGAGATCTTAAATCTCAAAATATTATTCTTTCGTCAAAGAATTCTTCTTTTTGTGAAGAAAATAAATCTTTCTGTGATCTTATTGGTAGTTTTAAAAGTTCTTAAACATTCTTTTTCTTTTTTTTAATCAGATCTTTCGATTTTATTCTTTAACCTTCTTTTTGATTTTATTGGTATTTCGATTATTTCCTTTTTCTTTTGTTATTGTTATACCTTTTTATAAGTTTTTACAGATTTGTGTTTCATCAGATATTAATAAAAGATCCTGATATTCTTTGCGTTGTTCTTAAAAATATCTTTCACTACTATTTCATCTGATCCTTCTACTCCAAGCGGTTCTCCTGTTATTCTTGAGAATTCAGTAAATATTTCTATCAGGAATCTTAATATGGCTTTGACCTATCTCTCTCATGTTCAAAATTCTATTCAATCCATCTTTCACCAAGTGTCTTGAAGTGAAACTTGCCATAATCATCTTGAAGGCATTCTAAGTTCTGCTCACTTTTTTGTTGATGCTACCTTTTCAGATGTTTTATTTATACAAAATAATCCATTCTATATTGTTATCAAAGATCTCTGTAATATGTATAAACATTATAGTACACGAACTCTTGAGCTTTAAAAGGAAAATTCTTGTCTTAGAGAAGAAGTCACTATTCTTCAGAATATTAAATTTGATCTTGAAAATATAGTACATGATTTTTATTTCCAATTTTCTGATCATGATAGTTCGTAGCATTTCTTTTTCTTGTCTTTCAATATATTTTGTTGTTTCTTTCTTGTAATTCTGATTATTAATATTATTATTTAAATATTTTCTTTAAAGGATTCAATAAAGTTTTTCCATAGTATTATTAGTGCTTAATTATTTCTTTGTATATATTGTTTATCATTTTTCATCTTCCTTCTTTGTAAATGATCACAGTTGTTATCTTGTATATTTAAAGAGTATGATATGTTCGTCATTCTTTCCAAAATGTCTTCTTCAAATATCAACAAGTAAGGTCTTAGTTGATGCATTTGTTTATCTCTTTCTTTCTCTAATTTCTTTTCTGTAGCATTCTCCAGGATCTTGATACAGCCTTGGTTGCTCTTTGTCATGCTCAGGATTCTCTCAAGGCTTTCTCTAAGGATACTCCTTGTTCTCGCTACATGAAACTTGACAATTTTGTTTCTTCCTCGATTTCTAAAGCTCTTTATTCTTCTGCTACAGAAGGTTTCGTTCCTCCTCCCAAATCTTCCTTTACTCTTGTCAAAGAGATCTGTAATTTCTTTCATCTTGCAAATAAGAAAATTACCTGTCTTACTAATGCTCTTGCTAAAGAGGAAAAAAATTCTACTGAGGAGACTAATGAGCTTTGTGCTGAAATTACTAAACTTTGTCAGGAAGTTAAAGCTCTTAAAAAAGAAATTAGGTTTTTAAAGAACTGTTAAGGACATATGATTTTCATTATGTTACTTCATAATGTCATTCTATTTTTCTTCAATGTCATCAATAAAGTCTAATATTTGATCATTACATTTCATTTATATTATGATGTTATTTTATGAGTTTCTCATATATCAGTTATATTATTATGAAGTGTTACATTTTCATTATTTATTTTTTGTATTATAAATATCTTGTTTTATCGTTTCTTGTTTCTGTTGAATTTTGTCTTCCATTTTTAATCACATAAGTATATTCTAGCATATACGTTTAAAATTTTCGAAAAATATTTTTTTCTTTTACTGATTTTTATCATGAATGCTCTCACAATATGCAAAGATCAGAGTCTAATGTTAGTGATGATGGTACTGATAGTCAAAATATTTATGATGGTGCACGTGACAATCCCCGTAATGTTCCTCGCGGTTCTTCCATCTGTCAGATTCTCAATTTTTCTCCTGTTTGCTTGCCTAATGTTCAAAATGTTGTTCGTCCTCCTGTTATTCAGAATATTCAAAATATTCAGAATTATCCTGTTGCTCAGAATCATGAAGATGATGAAATTTTCTTTCACTTAACACTTCGCCCTATTAATGAAATGTCTAATACTCAATTGAGAGAACAACTTATCATTTTTCGCAATGGTGTCCTTCAACTTCGCAAAAGAATTGATTCCCTTACTGAAGAGAAATCAGCTCGTCATTCTGAAGAACTTGCTCACAAATATCGTCGTCTTTGTACCCAATTAGAATTATCTAATAAAAGAGATGATAATATCAAGAGAATATTGTACGTATTATTATTTTGTATTGTACTCTTACTTCATTTCATCTCTTCACTAATTTAATTCTTCTTTTTTTTAGTAACTTCTGAGTCTTTGTTATCTTGCATTACATGTTTTTCATCATTGCATACTTGCATCTTATGTAATTCAATTTTGTATTTAATTGTGTGAATAAAATCAATTCTTCACAATTCAATCACTTCTTAAAATCTCAGCACAATGAAAAACTATTACACAATTATTATCACAATTATTTTCTTGATAAGTTACTTACTTGATCTTGTAAAGTCAAAATCTAAATTCTCTCATAAATCATTCTCAAAAGACAAAAACCTATTTCAAAAAGCATCATCTTGTTTAGAAGATAAATTAGTCATGAATTGTGAATCAATTCTTAAATTCGGTTGGAAGTTTTCCACAATATCTTCAAACATATGCTCAAAAACTTTGTTTATAACAATTCCTCTATTTATTATAAACAGTTTTATACTTTTTGCTCTACTAGATTTTTACATTTGGTG